GGTGCGGCTTGAGGTGGGAGGAGGGGATAGGTGGGAGGAAGAACAGGTTAGGGAGGCGGGGACGAGCTGGACTGGTTTTGGGATGCGGTAGGGGGAGGGGAGATTTTGAAGCTTGTGAAATCCACATTGATACCATTGGGCTGCAGGGTTCCCAAGCGGAATATGAGTTGCTGTTCCTGCAACCTTCGGGTGGCATCGTTGTGGCACTGCAGGAGGCCCAGGATGGACATGTCATCTGAGGAATGGGAGGGGGAGTTGAAATGGTTCGCGACTGGGAGGTGCAGTTGTTTATTGCGAACCGAGTGTAGGTGTTCTGCAAAGCGGTCCCCGAGCCTCCGTTTGGTTTCCCCGATGTAGAGGAGGCCACAACGGGTACAGCGGATGCAGTATACCACATTAGCAGATGTGCAGGTGAACATCTGCTTGATGTGGAAAGTCTTCTTGGGGCCTGGGATGGGGGTGAGGGAGGAGGTGTGGGGGCAGGTGTAGCACTTCCTGCGGTTGCAGGGAAAAGTGTCAGGTGTGGTGGGGCTGGAGGGGAGTGTGGAGCAGACAAGGGAATCCCGGAGAGAGTGGTCCCTCTGGAAAGCAGATAAGGGTGGGGAGGGAAAAATGTCTTTGGTGGTGGGGTCGGATTGCAGATGGCGGAAATGTCGGAGGATGATGCGTTGGATCCGGAGGTTGGTGGGGTGGTATGTGAGGAGGAGGGGGATTCTTTTTTGGTTGTTATTGCGGGGACGGGGTGTGAGGGATGAGTTGCAGGAAATGCGGGAGACACGGTCGAGGGCGTTCTTGACCACTGAGGTGGGGGGGGAAGTTGCAGTCCTTGAAAAACGAGGACATCTGAGATGTATGGGAGTGGAATGCCTCATCCTGGGAGCAGATGTGGCGGAGGCGAAGGAATTGGGAACAGGGGATGGCATTTTTGCGGGAAGGTGGGTGGGAGGAGGTGTATTCTAGGTAGCTGTGGGAGTCGGTTGGGCTTGAAATGGATATCGGTTTCTAGGTGGTTGCCCGAGATGGAGACAGAGAGATCCAGGAAGGTAAGAGAGGTATTAGAGATGGTCCAGGTGAACATAAGGTTGGGGTGGAAGGTGTTGGTGAAGTGGATGAACTGTTCGAGCTCCTTGTGGGAGCACGAGGCAGCGCCAATACAGTCATAAATGTAATGGAGGAAGAGGTGGGGTTTAGGGCCGGTGTAGGTACGGAAGAGGGATTGTTCCACGTAACCTACAAAGAGGCAGGCATAGCTTGGGCCCATGCGGGTACCCATTGCCACCCCCTTTGTCTGTAGGAAGTGGGAGGAATTGAAAGAGAAGTTGTTGAGGGTGAGGACGAGTTTGGCTAAGCGGATGAGGGTGTCAGTGGAGGAGGAGAGGTCGGGCCTGTGGGACAGGAAGAAGCGGAGGGCCAATCTAGCAGTAGAGAGAGAACTCAGGCTTTTTGCTGCAGCAGAGAGAGAGAGCAGTATCTATCAGCTTCAACTCCAAAATCCCCAACCTAAAGCAAAACTAAAATCTTGGGCCTGTGTGAGCCTGATTCCACCCACTCATGTTGTTTTTGTCTAATTTAAAACAAAACACTCATGGAGCTCAAAGCTGTTTACTCACTGCTTCTGAAGCAGACATTCCAGTACCACTGTGTCAACACCTCTCTGCAAGACAAACAGCACAGAATAAATCTCTCTTGAAAGGTACAGTCCCAGAACTTCCTGCTTACAAATCGTCGTGTTTTACGTGTGGCATAAATATTTGACGAGCTGTAATTGTGTGAGAAAACACAGCCCACCCCTGAACTGTGGTTTCCCGCCGCCCCCAGCGCCCCCATCCCCACCCTGGCTTTTACAGCAACCCCAAAACTTAGTCTCAAAATAAAGGTTTTTGCGCATTACTTCTACTGGCAATATGCCATCAATATTGGCACCACAGTGGCACACAATGGCCAGGGAAAACATAAAAGGACACTCAACAACGTGAACAAGACCAGATCACTGATCTTTCAACACAATTAGGAGAATGCATATGACTGATAGCTTGTGACCAAAAGCTTGCAAGGAACCAGGAAACCAACACAGCGGATGGCTTTTTAAGGTGAGCATCAGGAATAATGCCTATTATAACCTTTCATATTGCTGTGCATCTTGAAGTGTGAAGGAAAGGAGTCCCCATCTGCATTTTTTTAAAGCAAGGGCCAGCAACTGAGGCATTTGGCTGTCATGTGCAAACAGAAAAGAAAAGTAAGACTGAAAATATTGCATGAATTTTCATGTCACGTGTTCTCCCCTTATCAAGAATGCCTTTCAAGTCAACAAGTGTTTGCTGTTTGATTCATGTTTAAAATATGGAAAGCTCAGGTGGAAATACATGTGACAGTAATATCTTGTCCTATCACCTTAGGTTGCAATTATGTATGGGCAGCTGCCCAGATATCTTTTAGACCGGTCGGTTTTCTTGTGCCAGAGACGTTGTTGTATGTTAAATCTAACGATTTTTGTCTTTGTTTTTTTTTAAAATATGTAACCCACAATCCCCTTGGAAGAAACATTTTGAGCGAGACATCAACAGGCTTATGCTCTGCCATTGTGACTGAAAACTACCAAACAGAAGTAAGGAGAGATGAGAAACAGTAGGATAATAAACATTAAACAGAGTTAATACATAAAGTTAAAAATGTTTTAAATAAAATGTATTCTGAAGAAGGGTCACTGGACCTGAAACATTGACTCTGAATTTTCTCCATTGATGCTACCAGACCTATTGAGTTTTTCCAACAATTTCTGTTTTTGTTTAAAAATGTATTACATTTCTAAATGTACATACATACATATTTCATGTACAGTGTGAAAGCAGGACATTCAGCCAATTGAGTCTACATTGACCCTCCAAACAGTATCCCACCCAGACACAAACCCCTATCCTATCCCTGTAAATCTGGATTTCCCATGGCTAATCCATCTAGCCTGCACAACAATGGACACTACAAGACAACTTAGCATGGCCAATCCACCTCATCTCCACATTTTTGGACTTTGGGAAGAAACCAGAGCACCTGGAGGATAACCTATCAACACTTGGAGAACATGCAAACTCCACACAGCCATCTGAGGCTGGAATCAAACCCAGGTTCCTGGTGCTATGAGGCAGCAGTGCTAACCACTGAGCTGCTGTGCTATTGTATTTATATATTGTATAATATATAATTTCATTTAACTAAACAATGTACAGGGGTTATGCAGGATGGATTGGTAAAAGGCATTAAAGTGTTCAATCAGCCATTGAGTCATACAACACAGAAATAGACCCTTTGGTCCAACCAGTCCATGCTGAACATAACCCCAAATTAAACTAGTCCCACCCCCTTGGCTCATTATCCCTCCAGACATTTCCTATTCTCGTGCTTATCTAAGTGTCTTTTAAATGTTGTAACTGTACCCGCATCCACCACTTCCTCTAGAAGTTCATTCCACACACGAACCACTCTGTGTAAAAAACTTGCCCTTCATGCCTTTTTGGAATCTTTTTCTTCTCACTTTGAAAATATGTCCCCTAGTCTTGAAATTGCCCAGCATAGGGAAAAGACACCTGCTATTGACTAATCTATACCCCTCATGAATTTATAAGCCTCTATAAGGTCACCCCTCAACCTATGCTGCAGTGAAAAAAGTCCTAGTCTCTCAAACCCTCCATTCTCGACACCATCCTGGTAAATCACTTCTGAGCCCTCTCCAGTTTAATGGTATCTTTCCTATAACAGGCAGGCTCAATGTGGGCTGAATGGCCTACTCCGGTTCAAATAAACCAAAAAAACTTGCTTTTTTCACATGGATGCTTTGTTCAATTTTTAGGCATCTTAATACAACATAAACACAGCGCACAACAGTTTACAAACTGGAGAACATTTTGAAAATGTTTGATAAACACCAACAGGTTGCACTGCACTTCAACATCACCAAACAGAATTTGACAAGGAAATATTGATATCTATTGTCTGTGCAGCTGTCACAAAGAACTAGCAAAACAATATTCAGAACAGCAAAATGTGGCAGACCTGAAAGCTGAAACAATCTCCATGACAAATACTAAAATTCTTTGGTCTTTGCAGCTGTCTTATTGTAATAATTTGAGCCTAACTGCTTGAAAACTTTTGGTTTCAAAATGACACAGACCTGGAGGCCACTCAGATTAGTAAAGAGCTTTCACCTTGCAAAATACCACCCAACCTAACTAATAAATCACGTACAAAAACAGAGAAAGAGATTGTATTTGTCTCTGGCAATGACTTACTTAGGTGTTGAGCATAACACCAGATTTAAGAAATTACAGAAAAAGAGCAACTATGAACACAATTCTTTTGATTGAATCTCCATCAAAACAGAATGGATTGAAATGTAGTGATTCCAATTTAGGGCACTTTACAAAATTTCAGTGAATTAATTTACATGCAACATTATATTAAAATTCATTGAAATATTTCAAAGTTGTGCTGTTACATAAGGAGGGATTGGTAAATACTCAACCTTCAAAGCTCACTATCTCTCTGATTCAAATACTGTACAGCTTTTAGCCTTGACTTTTGTTTAGTCTCACGCAAATATTGTCACAGCTTTATTACATAGTGACATACAAAGCAAAAGAAATATGATATTCCCTTGATTTTCCCACTTGGCATCAAATTCTCCCATTTTACCTGATTATTTCTTTCCAACAAGGTCCCCACCAATTAAAATGTCACTTGTTTTGGTGAATGGGATGCAGATTTGACAGGATATGGCTAGTATTCAGTTTATTTATTCTCTACCAGATTTGTTGGACCATTTCAAACTCTATCATGTTTTGCATAAAAACCGAAAGAACTGCGGATGCTGTAAATCAGGAACAGAAACAGAAACAGAAGTTGCTGGGAAAACTCAGCAGGTCTGGCCGCATCTGTGAAGAAAAAAAATCAGAGTTAACATTCCGGTCCAGTGCGGTGACTCTTCAGGATCACTAGACCTGAAATGTTAACTCTGATTTTTTTCTTCACAGATGCTGCCAGACCTGCTGAGCTTTTCCAGCAACTTCTGTTTTCGTTCTATCATGTTCTGGCTTCATCTCACATTGCTCACTACTCTGAAATGCAAATATGTATCAGGCTTCTTTTCTCTGCAGGACTGTATGCCTATATCACTCCTGTACCACATTCAACCCTCCATAATATGAAGTCATTTAAAAGTCTGCGCTTTAACTTGTAACAATTCCCATTCCTCTATCTCTTTATCCTATGCTCACTGACGTACATTGGCAGCCAGTTTGGCAAAATCCTGATTTATAAAATCGTCATCCTTCTTTTCCACTTTTCTCCATGCAGGAGTCAAAGTATTTGCTTTTCCTAAGGGTCTTCTTGAGATGTTCTTGCGGACTACTTTTGAATTGGCTTTACGTTCATTTTCAGGGACTCTCTCTTAATTCCTACCAGCACATTTATTGGATGGCACAGTCACATTCAAAAAATGTCTTCAGATATCTGTGTTGACTTACAGGCTATTTGGGCACACATAGATACAGAATTAGCAGAAGTTAATCGATATCCTCAAAAGTCATTAACATTCCATTAAAATTAAATGCACAACACTCAAGAGAAATATTTATTTCCTAGATGCCATGGTATTAACTTTGACTCAAGCCAACAGGCATAAATTAACAAGTAATTTTTTTGTCAAAATAACTGACACGCACAAAACTCTACTCACAAAAAGCCATTACAACAAAATATACATTCCTCAGATTGGTGAAATCACTGCTAATGCATTTCCGTAACATTTGTGTTCTGTTATGTTTCTCATGGCTCAGTATGTCAGTACAACCTTTAAGAGACAGGTTCAGTATCATAGCATGTGACCTGAGGGCTGAAAGGTCTCATACTCCATTTTCCACAGGGATCACTGGAAGCATGACACTCTGCTGGAAGCATACTGCTTTATCTTGTTCTGTTGCAATCGAACATATAATAGATGGCTACGATGAATGACTGCTGGGTTTTTCAATAGCATGATATCTAAGCTCAGTTTCTTATATTACAAAAGGTAACAGAAGCAGTGCTGTACCCCTTCCAGAGGCAAGATGACATCAATATGCACAGAATCTGGAAGATTTTCTTCAGACATTGACTGCAGGTCAGATCTAAGTTTCAGATTTATTTTTAAGAATAGATTTAAGATGAGAGGGGTAAGATTTAAAAGGGATCTAAGGGGCAACTTTTTCATGCAGCGGGAGTTCTGTGTATGGAACGAGCTGCCAGAGGAAGTGGTGGAAGCTGGTACAATTACAACATTTAAAAGGCAAGGGATGGGTATACGAATAGGAAGGGTTTAGAGGGATATGGGCCAAATGATGGCAAATGGGATTATATTTAGTTAGGATATTAGGTTGGCATGTTTGAGTTGGACGGAAGGTTCTATTTTCATGCTGTACATCTCTATGACTATGACTAATTGACACAGTTTTCATTATGATATCATCCACTATATTTTCCTGATATAGAAGCTTCACATCTTATGCAGCCTTAAGCCAGAGATTCCACATTCATTTGCAAAGAATTCATTCCCTCAGTGAGTCCAGGTTTTCCTGGTTTTCCAGATAACTGAATATTCCTCTGTTGACTGTTGTGCCTCCTTTACAACTTCCCACCCATAAACCATCCTCAATTCTCTTGCAGTTTTCTTCTCTCCTAGTCCCTTTTGTAGCTTACTTTACATGCCTCATGCAATGTCCTTCTTCCCCTACCTCCATAGTGGCCTCCTCCTCTCTCAATCATACTGCAGCCTCGTTACACCCCCTCCCCTTCTCAAGCCCTACTTTTCCCCCATCACCTCCAACCCTCTTTCTTCGGAGTCTCATGCTGAGGGTCTAACCAAAGACATAAGTAATCCAAAACTGTAGAAACTATTTAAAGTAGAAAGTTCATAACAATGGCATATGTTGCTCAACTCATTGATCACCAGTTCCAACATGCCACACTGAACAACCACAACGACCTCCTCAGAAAACAGACACAGAATATGTCTGATAGGATACCCTTCATCGTCCAGTACTTCCCTGGAGCGGAGAAACTACACCATGTTCTTCACAGTCTTCAACATGTCGCCAATGACGATGAGCACCTTGCCAAGATCCTCCCCGTGCCTCCACTTCTCGCCTTCGAACAACCGCCATAACTTAAACAGACCATTGTTCACAGCAAACTACCCAGCCTTCAGGGCAATATCGACCACAGCATCACACAACCCTGCCACGGCAACCTGTATCTGTAAAATCTTCCTTACTGTTCTGTTTTGTCACCATCACCTTGGTAAATTATTTTGATCTCTCTACCTTAATTAGTTTGTACAGTTTTGGATTCCTTTGTACTTTGGCTAAACCCTCGGCATATTCTCTTATACCTATCATGTTATTCTAGTCATTTGGTTTACCTCCAGCGCAATATTATTTTTAATTTTTTGTAATCATCTCTCTGCTCATTTAATCAGAGAATAAGTCATCCCTTCAGTTGTTATTCAGCTGTTGATACTTTACTCACATGAACTAACATTCTTAGTTACCTGCAGAGACTTATTTTTCGATACTCCACTCACACCATTTGTATGATCCTTTGATCTCTCTGCCCTTGATGTCTCTCTGCCCATAAATTCTGTGTTCTGTGTCCTTCTCTGTCACTTCACCTGACGAAGGGGCTATGGTCCAAAAGCTTGTGATTTCAAATAAACCTGTTGGACTGTAAACTGGTGTCGTGTGTATTCTGACCTTGTCCACTCCAGTCCAATACCAGCACCTCCACATCATGGCTGATAGGCTCATTATTGAGGACTTGGTAACTCCATCTCTCTCCACAATCACCTTCAGACCCACAAACCTCCAAAATCTCTGTGTGTGCATCTTAAATCTGGCTTCCTGTATATCCCTGATTTCAACCACTATATTATTGGTGGCTAAATAAATGTAGGTGGTTATTGTTGCTTTGAAGCACATCTGTGATGAAAATTAAAAGAACTTAAGAAATTTTAAAATTATGTATATCTGGATCTCAGGTGGTACCAAAGCAGTCTGCATATGGAATTATATCACTACCGTATCTCCAAGCTTAACCACAAATACTTGGCAGTGATCAGGGCAATTATTTCCGCCAACTCCATTTCTGTATTTAAAAATGTTAAAAATGTTAACAGCTTTTGTCTGTTGCAAGGAGATTTCAGTAATGATTAACTGAAGAGGTGGAACTTCTAATGATAAAGGTCATTCCCTCTTTCAACATTTCTGTGTCTACCTTCATGCAAACTTTTAAAAAGGATCATTGGCAAATCAATTGTATTGAAACCTACAGATGTTTCAGAGGAATGCATTTTTGTGTAAGGTCACCAGGCAAAGTCACCTTTCCGAAAAAATAGCGACAGAAGCACGAAACGGTTTCTGAATCTCATCACATGGCCTGATTTCACAAACATCATACTTGAATCTCTTTCCTCTCTCCTTGCTGTTTAGGGTTAGGAGACTTCCCTGAGGAACCCCTGCAGTAATGTCCTGGAGCTGAGATGTCCAGCTTCCAACAACCACAGCTATCTTCTTTTGTTCCAGACATGAGCCCAACAAGTGGAGAGCTTTACCATTGATTCCCATTAACTCTAGTTTTGCTAAGGCTCCTTGATGCCATATTTAGTGGAATTTGGTGTGAAGGACAGACTCTCTCACATTACCATTATTTTGTCTGTGTTTGAACTAAGGCTCTAATACGGTTTGGAGCTGAGTAACTTTGGCAGAATCCAGTTGGTTGAGTGATATGAAACTGATGTTCAATAAATATTTTTTTGGGCTAGAGAAAGAGTTGTAGTACAAGTCCTCAGAGGCTGGTGCTAGGACCCTGAATTTTCCTGATATATAAACACTAATTATCTATCTCTTGGTGAGTAGGGACAATTTCAAAGTTTGCAAATTACAATAAATATGGAAGTATTGCAAACTGCGAGGAAGGTGGTGTAGAACCTTTGTCGCAAAAGAATATTGACTTATTGGTGGAGTGGGCAGTTAGGCAGTAGATGAAGTTCAGAGAAGTGTAAGGTGATGCATTTTGGTAGGAAGAACATTGAAAGGCAATATAAAATAAGAGGTACAATTCTAAAGAGGATGCAGGAACAGAGGGACCTGAATGTATCTCTACACAGATTATCAAAGGTGGTAGAACAGGTGGAGAGAACAGTTCATAAAGCATACCGTGTTCTCAATGTTATTAAAAGGGGAATGGAGTACAAGAGGGAGGTTATGATGAAACTATATAGAACATATTAGACCCTAGTTGGAGTAATGTGCACAGTTGTGGGTGCCACATCACAGGAAGAATGTGAACATATCACAGACAGTGTAGAAGCAATTTACAAGAAATTTTTCCAGAAATTGGGAACTTCCAATTACGAATATAGATTGGAGAAGTTAGGAGTCTTCTCCTTGGAGAGATGGCGGCTGAGAGGAGATGTGATAGAGGTTTACAAAATCAAGAGCAGGCAGGATAGAGTAGATAGGGAAAAGCTGCTCTCGCTTGTAAACGATCTAAAATGAAAGGACACAAATTTAAAGAGATTTTCAAAACAATGAAATGGAAGGTGAGTGAAAAACACTTTCACACAATGGATATTTTGGGCCCAGAATGCCCTGCCTGGAAACGTGTTGGAGGAAGGTTCAATTGGGGCATTCAAGAGCATAAACATGTGCAAGGGTATACGGGAGAGACAGATGAGTGGCAGGAAGTCACGGTGCTCATTTGGAGAACTCATAGACATGAAGGGCTGAACGGCCTGTAATATTTTGGGATTCTGTGATATCTGTGAGATATCAGTGAATAAAGCTAATTCAGCTAATATTTCAGATCCTCCTTCTCTAGGGTGATGCCTGTCAGTGTTAACCAAGCCAAGACTTGTTATCTCCCTGGAAACATCAGAGTCTTAAAGGTACAAATGGCCAAATGTGCTTTTAATATCTCATTTATCAGTGGACAATTTGGGAAGTTATTTTTCTCCTTGTCTTTTACAGTTGATAACCAAACAGAAATTTAATTAAGAACATTTATTTCTTTGCATTTTGTATGTTTTTTCATTCTGTGTCAGTATTGTAAGAATACCCCCCACTTTGTCACTAAGCCCAGTAAGCAGCTGGAGTAGTTCTTTAAATATCTTTTTCTAGTGAGTGAGCTCTCATAATAATTAATTAATTAGGCAGAAACACTGAGTTATATGCTACAAGCCAGCAGTAATTTCATTAGGAACTGGCCAAAGACTGATTATTACCTTCAAGCTGAAAAAAACATCTTTTAAAAATAGCTATTAAGATAATTTAACATCTTTATAAGCCTTGACATAGAGATAAAGTTTGTGGAGACACGAGTCCGTAAGATATAGGATCAGAATTAGGCCATTCGCCTCATCAAGTCTGCTCTGCTATTGGTTGATACGTTTCTTAGCCCATTTCCCTGCCTATTTCCCATTTCATTTGATTCCCCTTACTAATTTCTGATGAAGGGTCTAGGCCCAAAACGTCAGCTTTCCTGCTCCTCTGATGCTGCTTGGCCTGCTGTGTTCATCCAGCTCTGCACCTTGTTGTCTAAGAACCTATCTATCTCTGTCTTTAAATACACTCAATGACTCGCATTCACAGCCTTCTACAGCAGTGAGTTCCACAGATTCACCATCTTCTGGCTGAAACAATTCCTCTTCAGCTCAGTTGTAAAGCATTGTCCCTTCACTCTGAGGGTGTGCCCTCGGGTCCTAGTCTCTCTTACTGGTGGAAATATCTTCTCCACATCCACTCTATCCAGGCCTCTCAGTATTCTGTAAGTTTCAATCTGATCACCATTCATCTTCTAAATCCCACCAGAGGACCCAGAGTCCTCAATCACTCCTCAAATGACAAGCCCCTCATCCCTGGGATCATTCTTGTAGACCTCCTCTGAATCATCTCCAACGCCAGCACATCCATCCTTAGATACGGGGCCCAAAGCTGCTCACAATATTCCAAATGTGGTCTGACCATTCCAAATGCCTTATGCAGCTTCAGTAGTATATCTCCAGACCTGTATTCTAGCCCTCTTGAAACTAATGCTAATGTTGCATTTGGTCTCCTAACTGCGAACTGAACCTGCTTGCTAATCTTAAGGGAATCGTGGACTAGAAACCCCTTTGAGCTTCGGATTTTGAAGCCTTTCTTCATTTCGAAATTAGTCTTTGCCTCTTCTCTTTCTACCAGTTTGAATGTTCTGTCGCTGTCTGTTCCCCAATTGGATAATTACACTGCATTAAGTGGCATTATTATCACCGAGAGAAGGCGACCCTCAGACAAAAACAGGAAACTGCAGATGCTGAAAACTGAAATAGAAACAGAGAAGAAAATATGTTGGATATACTCAGCAGCATCTGGCAAGAAACAGATTTAATGTTTCAGGTCAATGAACTTGCATCAGAAAAGTTCTGCTTTTGTTGTTGATGCAATCTTGGTCTGTGTTGGCTGAACTAACTGTGCCGATAGTAAAGTTGTATCCCCAGTTTAGATCGGTGTAAAATGAGCCAGGGTTCTTGCTGCAAATGATCCCTCAGTAATGGGTACTGAAAATGCACGTGGATGAGGAATCTCAGCCGAAGGGGAGGCGATGGCCTAATGGTATTATCACTGGACTGCTAATCCAGAGACCCAGATAACGTTCTGGGGACCGGGTTTGAACCCCACCGTGGTAGATGGTGGAATGTGAATTCAATAAATATCTGGTATGAAGAGTCTAATGATGACTATTAATCCATTTTCGGGGGAAATACTTCTCTGGTTTACTACACTAATCCTACTACCTGTGTCTGGCCTACATGTGACTCCAGACCCACAGTAATGTGATTGACTCTTAACTGCCCTCTGGGCAATTAGTGATGGGCAATAAATGCTCCCTAGCCAGCAATGCCCTTAGCCATACGTGAATAAAGAAAAAAAAATCAGTGTGATTGTGAAGGATCCCCACACCATCTTAACATGAACCTTTGAGGAATGTTTTCTGAGTGCTACTGAAGCTGTACCTCCATGAGGGACCACTGTAGGGGAACAATGGATCAGTCTTATACCCTGTCAACCCCCACCCCCATCAAAAGAAAACACCGCTGGTGAAAAATATCCTTCCAGAAGACTGGATTCTGAGAGAATATTAAAAGATATCTGAAAGAATTCCCTTGCAGAATCCTAGCAAAACCACCTGCCTCATCACTGAGCAACTCATTGGCTTTTTATCAATAGGGAATGCTAGAGTTAGAGCAAGTCATACAGCATAGGAACTGGCCCTTTGGCACATCATGTCTATGTCGACCAGCAAACACCAAACTACACTAATCCTACTACCTGCACTGGATCCATAGATTAATACGTCCTGGCATTTTAATTGCTTGTCTAAATGCTTCTTAAATAGTGTGAGAGTGTCTGTCTCCATCACCCTCTCAGGCAGCACATGCCATATTTCTACTACCTTCTGGGTGAAAATATTTCCTCAAGTCCCATCTAAACCACTTGCTACACCATTGAGTTTGTGCCCTCTGGTCTTAGACATGTCTGCCATGGCGAAAAGATTCTCATGATCTACTCAGTCTATGCCTCTCATAATTTTATATACCCTAATCAAATCCCCATCCCCTCAGCCCTCTGTGCTCCAGTGAAAACAAACCCAGCCTATCCAGTCTCTCCTCATAATTGAGACTTTCCATTCCAGGCAGATTCCTGGTGAATCTCCTCTGCATCATCTCCAGTGCAATCACATCCTTCCAATAGTGTGGTGAGCAGAACTGCGCACAGTATCTGTGTCCCAAGGAATGTTTTATAAAGTTGCAATAAGACTTCCTTGTTCCTATATTCTATACTCCCAATTAATGAAGGCAAGCAACCCATATGCCTTCTTCACCACCCTGTCTACCTGTGCTGACACCTTCAGGGATCTATGGACTTGTACACCAAGGTTCCTCCGTTCCTCAGCACTACATCAGGGCCAATATTCATCGTGTAAATCCTTCCCTTATTAGACTTCCTAACGCACATCACCTCATATTTATCAGGATTAAATTCCATCTGTCATTGTTCTGCCCAATTTACCAGCTGATCAATGTTAGATTGTGGTATAAGACCATCCTTCCCACTATCAACAGCACTATCAATTTTTGTGTCACCGGCAAAATTATTAATTGAACCTTCCACATTCTCATCCAAGTCGTAAACGTATTTAGGAAACAGCATGATTCACAGCATGAATCCATGTGCTGTCTGAATTTTACAAAAGGCCATGAGGCATTGGAGCAAAAGTAGGTCATTCGGCCCATTGAGTCGGCTTCTGACATTCAATGAGATTATTGGCTGACCTGGTAATCCTCAAACCCACTTTCCTGCATTTTGCCTGTAAGATTTGATTACCTTACTGATGAAAAATCTGTCTATCCCAGCCTTGATTAAATGTAATGATCCAGCCTCAGCAGCCCTCTGTGGTAGAGAATTGCACAGATTCACAAGTGACTGAGAGAAGAAATTCCTCCTCATCTCTATCTTAAACATGTAACCCCTTATTCTGGGATTATACCCTTCGATCCTAGGCT